TTCGTATGCCTTATACTCTTTTGAAGTTCCTTTCTCCTTTGCCTCCAGGCCTAGTTTAAGCCCATTTTTGTTAATGTTTGTTTCACTTGTTGGTAAAACTAAGCTTTGTTCAGCATTGATTTATGTGTATTATCCTTCCTGTTTCTCGTTATGTTTATTTGCCGTTTGCATGGTAAAAACTCATCTGTCAAGCATAGGGTTGCAAGTTCAGGTTGTGCGCAGCTAAGTGAAAAATAAGCTGGCGTTTTAGGTCTTTACCCAGTTCGAGCCAAAGAATGCCCCAGGTTGTGGGGCCAAAACTGGGTGCTGTATTCTCACTAGTTTCTTCTTCCTCTTCGTAGTTAATGCCCCTCTAGGAAAAATTCTTTTTTTCTCCAGTTGCAGTTTTGTTAAAATAGTGGAAGAACTTCCATCTATGAGAGTAATTGTTGGGCTTCTACTTTAAACATATCCACAAGCTAATGGTTGTATAAATGCAAATGTTAAGATGAATGTGTTATCATACAAGATCGGACAAAGAATTGATCACGTCTGAAGTAGGATTCAAGTATCACCTGTGGGGGATAAAATAAGAGAAGATATAGAAGGTCGTTTGGGATGGTTCTTACAATGTCCTGAATAGCCCTCTGAATGCATCGACTAATTGATGCGTCACTATAATGATTGAAGGTGCTAAAAAAGGGACACGGTAGAATTACATGTAGGGGAAAAAATCGTCTAAAAAACCTACAATCTCACAGGATCAATGCAAATTTAGTTAAGAACAGAATGCAATGGAAGTAAAAGATCCCATAAGGCTACATCGCCGAGTTGGAATTAAGGGTTAATTGTTGATCGCCCAAAGCTTATTTACATTAGGTCTGCTATTTACCATGACCTTGTTTAGTTTGGTTATAGACTTTTGTGTCGAAGTAGGAATATATGTGAGTTAGAGAACCTCTAGTTTGACAGAACCATTAAATTGTGTTAGAAGACCAGTAATTTAGTATTGGAATGCAGGTCTGAATAGAGCTGAATGGATATAGTGGATTCTTATTGTCAGTCAAATCAGTTTCAGTTTGAGGTGTGGTTGACTGATATTATTGGGCTTGAATATGGTGAAGTTTTGGTGTAACAAAATAAATAAAACAATTTTCAACCACTGCCATGCTACTCATATCCCTCTCCCCCTTCAGTTTTAAATAAATAAATAAATAAATAAAACAATTTTCAAGCACTGCAATGCTACTAATGTCCCTCTCTTGTCATAATGTTTACTGTCACTCTTGTCTAAAAGTAACTAATTTCCATGTGCACAACTTTAACATCATTAGTTTTTTTCTGTTCTAGGATATTCTGATATGCTCAAGTGCTTCAGTTTCTGATAGATTTTACCTTTGCACAAGGCTGTAGACGGACTTTCACTTGGCGATCCTAATTCTTAGGAAGCATGTTAGAGTGGGTGTTAACTGTTACGAGTCCCACTTTGGTTGAGGAATGGGTTGTTTGTCTACTTATATACTTTTGGGGTTGATTCAGGCCCAAGGTCCATTTTTTACATGGTATCAGAGCTGGACCCATCCCAATTCTTAGTTTACCCGATGTTGGCCCCCCGTATTATGTTGTCCACACTCCAGTTGGCAGATCCGGGCATGCAGGGGTGTTAGAGTGGCTATTAGAGTCCCATATTGTTTGAGGAATGGGCTGTTTGTCTCCTTGTATAGTCTTGGGCAATCCTCACCTCATTAGCTAGCTCTTGGGGATGGGTTACACCCAAGGTCCATTTCTTTACCAAGCATTCTCTTCACATGCTATTTATCTGTTGTGCACACCTTTGGTAAATCATGTCGAATATCTAAGTATGGCAAAAAGGAAATCCATCGGAGTTTTATTATATCCAAAAAGATCTTGGACTAACTTAGAATAAGAACTGACCCTGGTTTTGTTCATTACATCATTTGCTGAAGGTCTCAAACGCACATTAGAGTGTTTCTCTGTCAATTCGCTTGCCTGTGCCAGCTGCTGAAGTTTCATGGAACAAGAGGCAGTTTTGAGTTCTATAATTTCGACCTTTATTTATTTATTTTTCTTAATAAAATAAAATTTCGACCCTTATTTTAGATGTGAAAACTGAAGTCTTCCTAGTATGAGGATCGGCTGATTACAATACCTCCCAAGGCATTTCAATCCCATAACATGATGTGCATTAAGTTGCTGGCCTCATCTGCGCTCACTATACCCTCTTACACTAACTATCATCTGATATAGGTTCTTTTTAAGAGGTGTCTGCATTTAGTTGATGAAGCTTTTGCAGGATTTTGCTTGGTCTGTTGATTGCTGTGAAACTATTGCATGCTAGTTTAACAATAAAATGGAAATGGAGCACTATTTGACTCTTTCATCTTGCCTTATGACAGAGGATGCTGAGCTCACTCCACTATTACGTCTTGGAGCTGGAGCTTGTGCTGGCATAATTGCCATGTCTGCAACTTACCCGATGGACATGGTGCGAGGAAGAATCACTGTGCAGGTAAGTTGCGTATCCTTTTGAATAAATGTTATGGGTGTTGATATACTCCTATGGGTATTATTTTGCAAGGATGCCTTCTAAATTCTTTTCCGTACTCTGCAGACAGAGAAGTCTCCTTATCAATACAGAGGAATGTTCCATGCGTTGTCAACTGTGCTTCGTGAGGAAGGTCCACGTGCTTTGTATAAAGGATGGACTCCTTCTGTCATAGGAGTTGTAAGTCCTTGTTCCTGGATCAAAAGGAACTGGCTATCCTGTACTCATATTAATTTGATAACCATGCTCACAAGATTTGGTGGTGTCATATAGATCTCTCATCTCTCCAAAGTTTCTTAATGAAGAAAAAGACTCAAATTAATTTGATAATCACTCTGTGAATTCATTTGGTATATCTTCATTTGAAAAGATGTCCATGAAGAAGAATGTCAAGTGCATTCTCTTTTGAAAGTGATAAGAACGTTCACCCACGGTCAATTAGCTAAATTAGTATTAACCCAATTATTCTAGAAAAAGGTTAAACATGAATCCCTGTTGGATGAAAGGAAAAAGATAAAAGGAATCTTATTAAAGAAAGGGAAGAAAAAAGAAAAGACATAACACTAGTTGAGAGTTCTTGTCTTTCTTTTGAATGCTTATCTTCTGATTCGGTGTTTGCAGGTTCCATATGTGGGGCTTAATTTTGCTGTATATGAGTCTTTAAAAGACTGGTTGATCAAAGCAAAACCATTCGGTCTTGTTGATGATGAGCTTGGTGTTGTTACAAGGCTGGCATGTGGAGCTGCTGCAGGAACGGTTGGACAAACTGTTGCCTACCCTCTTGATGTTATTCGCAGAAGGATGCAGATGGTGGGATGGAATCATGCTGCATCTATTGTTGCTGGTGATGGGAGGAGCAAGGTTCCCCTCGAATATACTGGAATGATTGATGCTTTCAGGAAAACTGTAAAGTATGAGGGTGTCAGAGCCTTGTACAAGGGTTTAGTGCCCAATTCAGTGAAGGTTAGACTTATTTATCAATAGCATTACCTTCCAGTTTAAGCAGTCTTATATCCTTCCTGTTTTTGTTTTTCAAACCAAGTCTCGTCGCATGTGTTTCTGTTCTTTGTCCTTTGTTTTCTTTGGGTTCATAGTTTTATGTTCCAGTGTTGCATTTGAATGTTTGCTTGCTTAAATAAAAAGTTCTGGTTCTGATTAGAGATACTTGGCTTCTCATTAGACGTTACATCATTACTTTTTATTTCATTCCTAATAGTGCTGTATATATTCAGGTTGTTCCTTCAATATCTATTGCTTTTGTGGCATATGAGCAAGTGAAGGATCTATTGGGAGTTGAGATCAGAATATCTGACTAATGAAGAGAAGCTCCGGTATTTTTTTCATGCATAAGATAATTTTGTGGGCAAGGATACAGGGGTTACAATAACATGGTGGTTACATAGTCTAGACGGAGAATTTGAGTCCTGTTCTAGCCTGTGTTTAGAACTTCCTTACTGTATCTGCTTATTGCTATTTTAGTGTTGTCAATAAGAAATTATCAAGAATAGTCTAATGAATAATTTGAGTGCCTATCTATGTTAGTGAGAGAATACAAGTATTCATGTGTTTTCAACCGCTTGCTTTTGTTAAATGATCAGTATTAGGAATGATACAAATACAGTCCTATAATGTTTTTTCAGTTTGTAGGCCATTTGTGCACTGTGTTCCAGTGATGCAAAAGCTGGCCTTGCCATAGTATTCAAATATTCTGTGTATAGATGCCAACTCCATTAGAGAAGTAAACCCCTTTATTCTCTTGCCTACAGTTGTTTACATGGGCGCATCGATGTTTTTGGATAATCTATGAAAGGGAAATAATCCATCAAGAGAGGAGGAAAAAACCCCTTTATTCCCTTGCCTATAGTTGTTTAATTCAGTGTAGAAAGACAATCCCTTTATTCCTTTGCCTATAGCTGTTTAAATCGATGTATAAGATGCTCCTTTGGCCCCGTGCTATGGCCTAGTGGTAAGAGCGCTAGGTGCAAATCATGGTTCGAATCCTGACATATAGACAAAAGCGTGATATTTAAGTGAAATAGGTAAGAGGGGCAAGTCCATTATTTATTGAGTTTTGAACCGTGTGCCATGGACCCTCAGAGGTTCTTTGCTTGTTAGAAAAAAGATGGCTCTGGGAAAATGACATTTCTAAAAGGAGAAAGATAGAGATAGTAAACCCCTTTATTCCTTTCCCAAGTGGATGTTCTCGGATAAAGGGATATGACCTATGTAGAACAAGAAAAAAGACCATATACTCTAATATGAAGAGTCCCCATCGGGGCAGGGGTAAGGTCTGCGTATACACTACCCTCCCCAGATCCCACTTAGTGGGACTTTACTGGGTCGTTGTTGTTATTGTACTCTAATATGAAGAGAGGGAAAGGGATTTTGGGGTGGGTGTGGAGGGGGAGGGGATGACTAGGAAATGCTCTATTTGCAATAACAGACACAGCGTTGATCTATGTTGACAAATTGAAGAGTAAACTAGCTACATAATTATATTTGGAAATACATTGTTTAGTTGTGGACTTGTGGTTATATGAGGCTACAAGTTCTATATCAAGTAGTTTTTGCTATGCTGATTTGTTAAAATGCTCTATAAAATGATGTAACAAGGTATTGAAGTATTAAGTAGAAATGTAGCATTGCTTTTTTAAACTTGAACAGAGATGTTTGCAATACAAATGCCTGTCTTTCGGTTTTCTCCATCTTCTTTCTCTGTCTCTTTGTCTCTCCATTAACATCTATCCATAAATGAAAAGGAGTGAAAAGACCTTTGTGGGAGTTTCTTTCTTGCTATGCCCCAAGGGTGTTGATTCCTCACATTCTTCTGCAGTGTCTGGATAAATGCATGAAAAGACAGATTCTTGATTACTTTTAAAATAACATAAGGGAACGAAGAATATTCTAATTTCAAGACACATATAACAGTCAATAAAGCGGGTGAAAACCATGGGAAATTAGAAAATTAATCCGACAAAGACAAAATACTAGGGATTACTTTCTATCTGCCTAAGTTTGGGTGACCAGAATTATCCGATACGTATGGTGGTGAAATATAGCATGTATATGAAGTAGTCGAGACGCTTATAAACTAACCTAGACACCACTATTATTTATCGAAACAAAGCAGTAATTTTCATAAAAATCTTACCCGCAGTCCCTAATCTTGGTCTGGAACCTAGGCACTTGTGGTTCAGTAGTCCTGTAATTATTCATTCCTCGTTTTCTGAAATTTACTTTAGAAACAATGTTGTCTTCTTGGTGATCTTTGTCATTGTCAATCTCCAATTTCTCAAAATTACGTTCTTCAGATGATAATGAAAGAAATGAGAGAATAAGTACAAGATTCAGCTCTGCGAAAAACAATTCTCTTGGTTTCTCATCACCTTTCTCTTCCTCCATATTCACTAATTGTTCTTCTAGCTTCGTCGCCATAGTCGTAGATTCAACCATTTTCTCCCTCAAAAATCTATTAATGGAGTAGGATTTTTTTCCCCCAAACTAACTGAGATTTGGGAACTATAAGAGGAATAGGGGATACTTATATATAGATCTAATATGTGGCGTCAACTCTCTTTTACTCATCCACCATGTTTTATGAGACAATAACCAACTTCCTGTATTTTAGGCAAATGTTTGGCTAATAGATTTGGGTGGACCTTTGGTTGGTTTTTTGTTTTTTGTTTTTTTGCTTGCTTTCATCCCATAATTTTATTTGAAGATTTTCCTTTCCAATTAAGTATTAACTCACTGGATTCTTGATAAATTAATCATATCTTTAGCAAACACTGATATATATATATATATATATATATATATATATATATATATATATATATATATAAAAACACCACATTACACTACCACTTGAGAAAAGATTCTCTCCCACACTCTAGAATTGGTTAGAGCGCTCCCTCTAGCATACTATTATAAGTTTTAACTTGTAATATCAATTTTTCGGTTCGAATAACAATCAAGTTTATATTTATATTATTCGTGCATTATGGTTGGCTAAGCCACCTAATTTATTTTGTAGCATTTTATTTATATGGTAGGCTCAGCCGCCTATTTAATTTTTGTATTCTAACTATATCTTCGGCAGGTTTAATTATCTTACTGTTACTCGCTTCATGTCCTAACTTATAAGTTTTTATTTCCTCCTAATCTTTTAGGCGCTTCGCTTCAGAGCCATATGGGGAAGTAAGGGTTATTATTCTTGTTTATAACTTGATCTTGTGTGGTATTGATTGATGATACTTAGATCTATAAATACATAACTTCTTTTATATATATTAAATCTTGTACTTTTATAAGAAGATCTCTTAAGGTTGGCACTGTGATCCTTTCGGATTTGCAATGTAAGCAATTTTTCTAGAAAGGTGGATGTGATAATTCTTAGTTGGCTTGCAAATGTTATTTATAACATTTGAGTCATCCTAAAGAACAACTTTTTAAAATAATTAGATTTAATTATTATATATATAAGAGAAGTCATGTATTTACAGATCTAAGTTTGATCAATCAATACCACTAAGAGCAAGTTAAAAACGAGAATAATAATCCTTACTTCCCCCTGGCCCTGATACGGGATCGGAAGCGAAGCCCCTAAAAGATTAGGGAAAAATAAAAACTTATAAGGAAGTAAGTAACAATAAAATAATTAAATCTGTAGAAGATACAGTTAAAGTACAAAAATTAAATTAGGCGGCTGAGCCGACCATACAAATAAAATGCAACAAAATAAGTTAGGTAGCTTAGCCAACCATAATGCAAGAGTAATATAAATATAATCTTGATTGTTATTTGAACTGAAAAATTGATACTATAAGTTAAAACTTATAATAGTTTGCTAGAAGGAGAGCTCTAACCAACTATAGAGAGAGGGAGAGAATTCTTTCTCAAGTGGTAGTATAATGTAATGTGTTTTACAAGTGATAGGGGGAGCTATTTATAACCAAAAAGCTAAAAATTACATAGTGTTTTCTAATGTTATTGATGATGTCATTAGGAGTACGTGCTAGCTGATGTCATGGATGATATCAGCTGTGATGTCAATATATTATCATGCTGATGTAATTTCTGATTAATTTCTCAGAACTTTAAATCAAGGTCTTCTTCTTCTTTTGATGATGATTTTTCAGATGAAGATGCTCGACATTGTGTCTGTTGACCTGGAATTTGTGTCTTGAGGGAATCAAAAAAAAAAAATTCCATTTGCTGAATATCAAGCTTGGTGGTGGAACTAGCTAGTTATAGCTAGATATTGTGGATGAGCCAAAAATCATTTGGGTAGCATCTGTTATAGCTAGATATTGTGGATGAGCCAAAAATTATTTGTCCACTGCTGGCACATAGGCTTCGAATGAATATCACATTTTGTACCACTTATAGTAGCCTTGGAGGGCTAACCACGGTAGTCCTTTGTGTCCATCTGGCTTGTGGAAGGAAAATTTCTAGGAGTAGATTCACTGGATGTGAAATTTGTGAAAAAATTAGAGGAGTATGGCTATTTTTTGCTCACCAGAAAACTTGTGGCAAAAATAGTCATATACTTCTTTTACTGGCGAAGGGAGAGTTTCATCCTTATGACCATAAGCAGGCCACCACCGATGCATAAACCACTGAGGAAATCCATAAGTTAATTTTTTACCCAGAAGATAAAACATGAATGCTTTCCAAGTTGGTTTTGGAAGGTGAAAGCATCCATCCATGCTGCCTGGTAGTTAAAATAATTATAAAATTATGGATCAAAAGGCTGAGAAAGTCTTTTGTATTTGGCTTGATGGATTTCCCATTTTTTTGGTGAGATTATTTTGTTAATACACACAGTAATATGCGTGACATACCACTGGATCTGCTTATCTTTGGGGTTTAAACAAGTAGGATTTGGTGTTTGTGAGAATGAACTCATAGTATTTTTGGGTATGTTTGGGAAATTTTTGTATGAAATTGGCTGGAGGGCTAACTATTTTCTTAGCTACTTCTTGAGGATTGGAATGTCAGAATTCTGGTTCAATTTGAATAAGTGGGTAGAACTTCATTCTTAATGTAAGTTGGGTTCCTCGGAGGGGGAGCCTTTACTTGAAGAAATAGGTTGCGGCACTAGTGAAGAAAGTACCTGATTGGGTACCGAATGCAACGTGCTTGTTTTATGCGATGTTGGATAGACATCCAGTACGTGCAATGGGGCTTTTAGCCTCTACTATTTTTTTTTTGTGTGGTGCTTTTAGCAACCATAGGATGTGAGAAGGCCGTGTGGCTTTGGGCCACCACGAGGTTGGAAGAAGATGCATGGATTTGTGCCGCCATATTGGAGAAATAATTCTGATACAATTGCTACTGATCTCTCAGCAGTTTTCTAAAAAGGTCACGCATGGTCATTTAATCTTTAAATCCCATGAGTTGGTGCCAATGCATGAATTCTTCTCCCGACCAAGGAGAAGACATGGTCTGAGCTAGTTGAATTTGAGCTTGTTGAGATTCTTCTTCCTCAACTAAGTCTGCCAATTTCTTTGGACTGAAAATTGGAATGGGCTCTGAATTTTCTATAAGATAAACTTGGGGGACTCCGCTCATGACGTAGTCAGATGGTTTTCTGTATTTTGGGTTGGCTTGGTGCAACTGCATCTTATGAGAGTTGCTTGGAGGCAACTGAAATGGCTTGTTAATTGGATACAACATCTATTTGATAATGTTTGGGTACTGCTTCAATCATATTCCCCCTATGGTATATGTGTGTGTGTATACATATATACACACACATATAAGAGAAATATTTTGAAAATACATATCAAGAAAAAAAACTTTCAATTGTTATGAATACACCAATTTTTATTTGTCCATTTAATATTCCCAAAGTTTCTTAAAGAAGCTTGTAATCAAGCAAATAATTCATGCAGACAACTGCAAGCAACCTTCTAAGTAAATTTGTAATCAAGCAAGTAGGTTGCAAGTGACTTTATGTAAATAGTTCACGAACAACTCCCTAAAGTTGTTGCAGTCAAGCAAGTATCTTGCAAGTAACTCATACAATGATGCATACATCTTGTTGAGAGTCTTGCAATCAAGTAAATAGCTCGTGAGTAATTTATGTAAACAACTTAGAATCCCCTCAGTAAAGAGGCTTGCAATTAGCCTTTTTTTTTCTTTTATAAATAGAAAGTTAAGGTAATTCATTTTGTACCATTTCAAGTGAAATAATATATCAGTCTTATTTCATTTTTCTCTGCTTTAGTTAGCTTCTCGGTTTCATATTATAAAATCAATTTAATTTTGTAAAGCATTAAATTACATATTTAAGTACTTAATGCCTCTTCTTTACATAAAAAAAATTACATGGCATGTCCCTCAACGGGAGTGGTCTGGTGGAATATCTCTTTTTTACTGTTTTTTTTTTTTTGAAATGTCCCATTTTTTAAACGCCTTTAGTTCTTCAATATTTAAAGTTTGAAATTTTTGTTTGGTGGTGAAAAGTAGAAGATTAATGATCTATTATTGTTAAAATTATTTGAAAGTTGATAATTTATACTTAAATTTTTAAGTCACATACCGATTTAGTGTTATATTGTAAAAAGCTCAAAACTCCATTGGTGGATCTTAGAAAGTGTTGGAAAAGACAAAGTGGATCTTTTTGATTTGATGTTATTTGACTAACTTGGTGATTGATGATTTGTTTGTGTTGGTATTTGAAAGTTTTGTTTCAAATTTGAGATTATCTGTAGCAAATTTGGGGTGGTTAATCAAACTAAAGCTGTAATTTCGAATAACACTTTATTAAAGTAATACAGAAAAATTATGCAAATCAGGTAGGCTTCGATGAATAACTTAACCAATAGGTAGAGTAAATATAGCATAAACTCTATCAATCTGGTAGGAATCCCCTAAAAAGCAAAGTCATGTCAACCGGATAGACTTTGATGAACAACTTAACAAATAGGTTGAGTAAATATAGCATGAGCTCTACTAATCTAGTAAAGAAACTCTGAAGAGCAACAACTGTGTGCAGGTCCGAGAGCTATTTTTTAAATACCATCTATTTTAGAGACATTCGACTAAGATCATCCTCTTACGAGACCATTCCTATCAATCACTCTCTTTACATCGACTTGTGATAAAACAAAAAATTATTTACTTGCAGAAACATAATAGTAACCATCAAATTCATGGTATAGAAGAGGAAAGTTACCAAACTATTCTGGGAGAATCTCACTTTATACTTATTAAGTTCAAACTATTTACCCTTTAATACTCAAGCCTAAACCAATTATTTTTCCTACCTATGCGGCCCAAACTATTTACCCGGTCTACCCATTAGCTATTTGCCTTCATATTTAAAGTACAAAATGTAAACATCCTGCCTCATTTTTACAAGGTTACTTAGTAGCTATTACAATCTGATAACTAAATAATTTGGCCTTTCTTTATTTTAAGTAGCACATACGATTACTTAATATAATAAGTTTACCAGATCTGATTTTTGTCTCTGTATGAAGACCCACTATTGTTGAGCTTGAAGCTCCTAGATTATAATTTAATTTTGAAGATTTTATTGTTTGACTCGATATGGGTGCTATAAAATATTGCTTATAGTACCTTCGAGTAAGCTTCCCGGATCTGAATTTTTATGTGTATTTGAATATCCACCATTGTTGGGCTAGAAGCTCTT